TTTATCGTCGTATGAGCGCAACCTTTTAGGAACCGTCCATGTATCATGGTGTACATGTAACCATGGTAACGGCGGAAAAGGACTTGGTTGCGTCATAGCTGTGTGATCATTGTATTACTGGCTCTGTTCACTGGACATAGAGGCTGTTTTGTTTTTGTATATTGTGTTGTCTTCTCCCCTTCTGACGAGTAGGTTGTGTACTTAGGAAAAAAACAAAAATCACTATACGCAGCCTGAGGACTTTTAAAAGTCTTTCACTGTCTATCTCTTTTGCATGCAGACCGTCTTCTGTGGTAGTCCTGGTTTGTACTACACACTCAGTAGATCTACGCAGTCGCTGTGCTGAGTGAACATGAACAGAACGAAGATATGACGTATCCTTTTTTTAAATTTCTAATGCAGTCGGATTGCAAGTGAATTGTCAATGCGCAGTGATTGCGCACATTTGGATGAAGGTCATTAATTTAACTCCACCAGAAGTGGAAAATCGTGCTCAGCTTGTCTGTGGACGGAACAAATCAAGGAATTCCACCTTGCACCAAACCCCACATGCAATGAACATTGTGCGAACATACCGTGATGATGTAAGTTAGAGTATGTACAGCACATCACAGTGATCCCCGTGCAACAACTATACACATCACAGTGATCCCCGTGCAACAACTATACACATCACACTGATCCCCGTGCAACAACTATACACATCGCAGTGATCCCCATGCAACAACTATACACATCACAGCGATCCCCGTGCAACAACTATACACATCACACTGATCCCCGTGCAACAACTATACACATCACAGTGATCCCCATGCAACAACTATACACATCACAGCGATCCCCGTGCAACAACTATACACATCACACTGATCCCCGTGCAACAACTATACACATCGCAGTGATCCCCGTGCAACAACTATACACATCACAGTGATCCCCGTGCAACAACTATACACATCACAGCGATCCCCGTGCAACAACTATACACATCACACTGATCCCCGTGCAACAACTACACACATCCATCACATTCATTTTGCCCGTACAACAGGCTTTACTGCTATACACACCATACACCATACATCACATACATGTACACCCAATTTATAGGGTGAGCCAATTGAATACTAATAGTTTACTATGGTCGGCAAGTAAATTTGGTTCTCAGTTTCTCACACCACTACACTCGTCTACCAGAAGTGATCACTGATGAATGATGATTGATAGATCAATAATATCGACAGTACGGAAACGCAACAGTAATTAGTATTAGTGATGGTAGAAGCCTTTTGCACGGGAAAATAACGCAATTGATGCAATGTTCGCAAATATAATGAACACAAAATACACAATTCAACCTGAACGGATCAGTAATAATCAGAGTGGAGGGTGATGATAAAAACCTGATGATGAAGTACATGTAGTTAGCAGAGAGTTTGGTCACAGCCAGTGGGACGTTATAATGTTTGAATGAGTTCTCATGGTTAAAAGCGGAGATGGGAATGAACATACTGCTACAGCTGGCATAATAATTATGCTAGTGGTGCAGGATTCATTACAATTCATTACAATTTGCCTATCTACGTGTGCACACGTAGATAGGCAAATTGTGTAATGATAGGTTTCTGGTTTTACACTCTTAGATGTGTGTAATCAAGAGATTATAATGGTGAACATCATCCGCTCTGTGTGTAGGCGGGAAGGTGATGACGTCATGCGATGTGTTCATCATGGACCCATCGTTCATAGTGTAAGCAGTTGAAATAGCGTTGTAAGAGCGTAAGCTGGAGATACCAAGACTTCTCGGCTGACCAGAAAACCAGACGTTCTGGCCTGGACACAGGGTGCGGGTGACGATGGCGGCGATGCTACGGCTTGATCAACTGAAGATGACTGAAGCTGTACAGGCGCAACTGGAACTTTTGTACTGCGATCCTGTTTCTTGCTGCTGGGCAAGGAAAGAGCCAGCTGTACTTTGATGATCAGCTTTCTCCCTGCAGCAGCCACATCCAGGGAGGTGCCACCCCACGGCCCATTCACGTGCACACCCAGTGACGTTCGCGCGGCTGCAGGTGTGAAGTTCTTCAAGATTCCAATCTCCACCGATTGTCGCACTGTCGTCCGCTGCTGTGCCTGGCTGGGATCGGACAAGGCTGATGGCACTGGAGAAGAACAGTCGCGAAATCGAAACACTAGTCCATTGGGGCTTTCACTCACTGCGGAACACGGAAAGGACAACAAACAGAAATCAAAAACATCATTACTAATCGACTACTTGTGTATCCACATCACATGTACATCAAGTAGTTGGAAAAGTATCAAAAACGTATTATTTTTATCCACAAGAGCATTCTGCAACATTGGCAGTTTGAGACAACTATTGATACTTGTTATCAGTTTCTTTTGAAAGGATTTATTATCCAATGTTGTTGTTCCGACTTTGTGTCCGGACTTGACTTATGGACTTGTGTAAGGAGGGGGGGGGGCGCACGACCACGCCCACCGCTTGTTTGTAAACAGTTGCCTGTGTGGCAGTGATCGCGTAGAAGGTTACGAAACGAACGTAATCGAACGGCAGTGTTCCAAGGTCACAGAACGCTTACTTGTTTTGGATAATTCCTCGACCAACGTGTCCACGGTCACCTGCATACGTCCTCCGGAGGTTGGTATGGAATACGAACGTCTCTCTGACAACGTTCTACTATCGCCATCACCAGCAGCACCGTCGACATGCTTCTCATCACAGACGGGATCGATGACTATGTGCCCGTCACGTGACTGACTAACATCAAACACATCCAAGGCAGTGGGGGAGGGAGTGGAGCACGTTTCACCTGCCATATTTAGTGTTGTTCAAATATTGATTTCAGATATTACGTACAATAAGTAAGGTTTGATGAAAGAGGTCAAGTGTACTTGAATGAATTCAAAGTGAAGGAGACTTTGGAGAACTGAACTTTCTTTGCTAACTTAGAGCTCCTTTATACTCTCTATCAGGCATTTGTTAAAAGGGACGTGGTAGCTCCTCTTGAGAAAATGTTTGGGATGTTTTGGGCTAAAACAGTTACGCCCCTAACTTTCGATCTAGTGCGTCTTGAGAAAAATGTGTGGGACGCCATGGGTCGACAGTTACGCCACTAAGTCTAAAGTTGATCTAGTGCTGTGTATTGTATGGTTGTAAGATTCCGTAGACTCAGTGCACGTGACACCAATGTTTACCTTGCAGTCAGGGAGTAGTCATGTATTTTACTACCCCCTGGTTGCAGTGGGTTTTCGTGGGGTGTGCTGTGCGCACTGCGTGTAATCTGCGCGTGTAGCCTGCGCAACGAGTTACGTGGACGAGAAGCAGCCTTCAACTACTCTTTCCCGTGGAGATTACGTAATCTGACAAGCCACTTGTCAACATGTTGATAGGAGGGATCTTCAAAATTTCTGCTTGGCATTCAGCCAGACAGCCCAGTCGGCCTGTGCAGGGGAAACGGCCATAGGCTTAGCTGCAGGACTTGTGGAACAGCCGCCTGAGCCAGAGTTGACACTGGAGCAGGAGCGCGTGCCTCGCTATGGCACGCATTGGCTTTGAGAACGTACTGTACTGGCATATCGTTACAGAGATCTCTAGAGAGAAGTTCGGAAAAACGAAAAAAAAGAAAATTGAACAGGAGTGTATTGCACCAGTTCTGTCGTAGGTACTACTAGTGTCATGTCATTCCGTGTGAGTGCCAGGGAACCGTCCCAGACAGACAGGTTTGACATCATAATATTGCTATTGCGTTTTTTATTACTTCTTGAGTTGCTTCATTCAATTGGTTCCATTCTTTGCCCGTAATAGTGGCTTTCCATGATCATGTCGACGAGTATTACCCACTAGTGCACTCAATACTAAGTCCTACTACAGCATTCCACATTAAAACCTTTTTTGAACTATGGTTACAGCACGTCATGTATACCACGTATACCACGGTCCGTGGTTGGTCTCACCCTCTCCTCAATTCAATTGGCTGTCTTGACATGCCACGAGGTGCAGAAATATATAAAATAAAATAAATACACGGTCGAAACTCATCAACACATCATCCCAGTTCCTATTGGAGTCCGATAGTAGGAGGTAGTAAGGCGACTGGTCCGGATCGCCCTCAAGTCCACTCTTTCCCGCACTGGTCGCTAGTCCAATAGGGACACGGGCATACAATCATGTACATGTACACAGGTCGTAAGGCCAATGGGCGACGGGCATACACAGGTCGTAAGGCCAATGGGCGACGGGCATACACAGGTCGTAAGGCCAATGGGCGATGGGCATACGCAGGTCGTAAGGCCAATGGGCGACGGGCATACACAGGTCGTAAGACCAATGGGCGACGGGCATACACAGGTCGTAAGGCCAATGGGCGATGGGCATACGCAGGTCGTAAGGCCAATGGGCGACGGGCATACACAGGTCGTAAGACCAATGGGCGACGGGCATACACAGGTCGTAAGGCCAATGGGCGACGGGCATACACAGGTGCGCACAGGTCCTTTTGGGCCACTCAGAAGATGTGGGGCTGTGTCTGCTGTGTCGCACTAGAAATGAGTCTCGTGATCAGTGGTTCTCAAACAGTATTGACATGGGATTGTCGGTATCTCAAACAATATTGACATGGGATCGTCGGTATAATGATAGTGGTGCATGCACTGATAATGCCCCCCCCCCCTTCCACATCAGTATTACAAATTAATTATTTGATTAAGAGTAACATAAACTCCCAAGAGTGTGTAACTCATTTCGCCTTGATAATCATTGGGCCTTGTTCCCGTATATTGTGCGGATTAAAATGTACCAATCAACCTATCTGCATTCGCCACCTTTTCATTGGGCAGATCTGCCCGTTTGGTTTGCGAATTACAATAAACACAACAACAACAACAACCAACCAACCAACTCTGGGCACCCTTTCTATGGAGTTAGCCGGTAGCGACAACTCTCAGTAGCAAGAGACTCACAACAGGATCTACAATCATGTAGTCGTACATTGTACTCGAAGTACATGATGCACAGCAAACTGATTGGAATGGAAGAGCATTGCGGGAGCTGGTTACTAGTATAGTCAAGATCAAAATAATATATTATTAAAATACGTCTTCAAAATGGAGTATACCAAGATGAGAGGAGGGCTTCATTCCGAGCAGCTCCATTAACGATATGTCAGGATTCAAGCAGATAATGTTGGATAGAATAGTTCAGAATGGTGCGAAAGTGCCTGGGGATGAATAAAGTAGCAACTGACTGAATCTTTGGAGAGTCCTTCGGCAGTAGTTAATAAAGAGAATTGCTAAACACAGTAATGAAGTGCACGCAAACTGCATAGTATGTACATTGTATAGATAAAATTAATGTTGAGATTACGCAGCCAAAGAGCCGGCATGTGTCTAAAGTGAATGAGAGGCGTTTCTTCAACAGCTTGTAAGTCCTGTCACTGCCTAGTCAGTTGGGAGGCATAGTCTCTGACAGAGGATGGGCTGAGACTTCACGCGCCCTAGGTCAAGGATGGTTTGGGCAGCTGTCACACTGATGAAGACTCCTCATGGACGATGGCTGGGTCAAACAGAAACTCGGTAACAAACTGTGCATCGCTTCCCAGTGGTGCCAGACGCAGTGGATTTGAGTTTCCCGGTGCTACACACAGCACGACACGATCGCTGAAGTCCGGATACAGTGTGTACGTTGGGTACAGAGTCATCGTGTCAACAACACGTCTACGCCAAATAATCTCCTGCGTGCTAGTAGGGAGCTGGCCGTCTTCTAGGCCAACCAAGCCTACTTCAGTTCGCAAGCCGTCCTTGCCGTTGATGTACTGAATGCCGAGGAACTTTGAATTGTCTGAGATGATCCCAGGGACGGACGATTGCGGGTCGAAATGCTCCAGAATGATTCTCTCTTCTGGCTCTGCGTTGTTGGAGCCTTGGCGTTCGCTGAGCGTTGTTGGTCTGCTTGTGACGGAACCGATCGAGTGTACAACGAACCAGCGATCAGTCGGGCTTTGGTCAACTGTAAGAAGCACATGACAGTGGACACGGAAGAGTTCAGCAGTGAAAAACATTTGCCAGTAGCTGAAAGCTAGCACGCCAAATGTACAAATACATCAGACTTTGTTGTATCTCTGGTGCTTCTGTATTATACATAACCAGTAGTACTCATGATTCAAGGCACACTATGTTCTATCAGGCACAAGACCATCCCTGGCATGCGACTACGGGGGAGGGGGGGGGGGGGGGGGTGTCAATTCACATGAACATACTTCGAAGTGATACTGGATTTAAAACCTTTTAAGAATTGTTACATACAACGTATACACGCAGGCCGATACAGACTGACAAAGTAGGCGGAACTTACCAATGCGGGACGCACATATGGGCATGATGAGTTCCACGTCTTCGTCATCATCACTGCTAGCATTGCTACTGCTGGACGTACTGATGTTGTCGTCCGTGTACGCATTCCCAGCACAGCCTGTGCCAATCTCCACAAACTGAAATGTGCCATCGGCTAAGACGGCGTGTAGTTCAAATGCATCCATTTTCCAGAAGGATGACGCTTGGAACTTTGTGTAATTGGCGGATATACGAGGGATTTCTCACTGGTACGATGAAATGAAATAAGTCAACAAACAAAAGATAACAACCAAGCACTTCAATCTTATCGTTTATGCCTCAATATTGCCAAGCTCTCTTGTGCTAAAATTTTCTTTTGTACTAACTCAGTCGCCATCCTAGATCTTCCTTTATAGTCACGTACTGTGACTATTCTCAATACAGCCAGCGGCCAATTACTTGAAACATTGGGCTAGACTGTATTGAGGAGTTGTGGAAGCGAGCAGGGAAATACCGGGGAAGAACATGTCAATTATTTTAGTTACATTACGCAATTGCCGTAACGTCCCTCAGTCGGGATGCAAGTGACATTGTCAGGCAGCAGCAGTGCACAGAGAACAAACAATGAAACAGTACAGATAACCCGGCACGGTGGCTTGTTAATGCCAATGGTAGTTGATTGACATGGGATATCTGAGTCTGGTTGTAACAGCATGCCTATCGGAAGACCCCAGCAGTGCACAGGGATTTACCCTCCAAAGACAACTGCCGCCTGTGGTCTGCACATGAATCCTTGCGTGCCTTTCACACGTCAAGGACCATGTCATGTGCAGTGTCTACCCTTAGTTTATCTGTCATCTTTTCTTATTCTCAGCCTGGCCCGCTAGCTGGCCTGGCTGGCCTGGCTATGGCCAATAATGCTTCAGCAGTGTCATTGGAAATGACAGATGGTCCGTGGACAAGCCATGACTTCACTACTCTGGCGTTAGGTAAACATATTGTTGTTGTTGATGCATTGAATTTGAAACATCAACTACTGTACTGTAAATACTAAACACACTCTTTAGTACTTGAAACAGTACATGTAGTCAGGTGGTCCGGACTGCACCGCAGGGTTGTAGTTGATAGCTGTAATTGTGAATCTACGCGCAAAGTCGGATCGTACGTGTTTTCAACTCGTAGGCTGTAGTTTATGTAGAGACGATACGTGTGCACAACTCGTATGTTTGACGTTATGTAGAGACCACGCTTGTTCACAACTCGAAGGGTATCGTGTCTACGGGAGTACGGGTATTATACTCGTACGTGCAGTACATGTACAGCGACGTGAACAACAGTACAATCATACATTGTAACTCGTGTGTTTTAGTACTTGTGTGTACCGGGTAGTATGTAGGAGCAATGCGTGTTCCCAACTCGTGTGTCATGCATTATGTAATGTAGTGAAGATCACATGTTCACACATTCCCCTGCCAATTACATGTATGCATCGATCGGTTACGCCACCTTTCTATTTTTGTTGCTCTGAGCATTGCAACTGCTTGACTACCTACCAAGGGCCAACACTCACTCCCTCTACTGGCACTAGTGAATAAGACCATAGTATTCTGCAACATATACATGATTGTATTGTGTGCTCACTGAACTTTTGTTCGTACACTATGAATAGTATGATTATGATGTTTGTTGGGACAATACGTGCTCACAACTCGTGGGATATAGTGTCGGTAGGGGGCGATGCATCTGATTTTGCGATGTAAAAGTACAACTTCAAATCGAACAGTAACATCAAAATGAGGACGTGTGATATCACCCGGCAGCTGTCAACGCTGAGTCATTGTATCATCTTAGTCCTACATGTACATCATGGCAGTTCATGGCGTTGTCGTAAGACTGTGTCTTGACAGAACCCCAGCCTGGTACAGGTCGTCCCTCGTTAATACATAATCTCTGGGACTTGACAAATGTTATGTATTAACGGGCTTTATGTACTAAACGAAAGTGTACATAACTTGCTTGTGTACCAGAATATTTCACCTTTTTCAACTTTTCTGAATGTTTGTTGCTACCATGACTAAACACTGAGATAATCTTGATTCCCTCGATATAACATAAAAATTATGTTATAACAGTCACAGTCAGCGACGATTCTACAGTTTACATGGTACATGCCCAGTCTTGCCTGTACAGTCACTCGGAAAACACAGAGCTTTGTAGGTTGTCATGTGCGCTCTGATTTCTGAGCCAATTGCGTCCACAAGTAGAAACTAGAACACGATGTGCCTCCACTGGAAGGCCAAAAGACCAACAAATTATGTACTATTGAGGTAGGTGACATGCGGGTACGGAGAAATGTTATGTACTAACGGGGTTTATGTACTAACCGACAAAATTTGTATGGAAGTGACCACGTTTCGTCCGGGACTTGAGATTTCTTATGTACTAACGGGGTTTATGTACTAACCGGACTCGTATTAACGGGGGACGACCGGTACAGGGATACAGGGATACAGGGGTGCGGCAATCACAGGTTTACTTAGTCAGTGGCAGGGGTAACGCCCACATCAATAAGGCTAAAATAGAACACCCAGTGTGGGGTAAAAGGATATCACACTGGCCCAACCCCATGTCGGCACGCTCTGACTGGCAGCCAGTGACTTCGCTACTTCGTGTGTACTTCGAGTATGGCTTTCATGCACACTTTGTACATGCATGTAATCTTTACTTATAAAAGAGAGGCACCTGTGACGTGTGTCTGTGTGTGTGTGTGTGTGTCACGCTCCTTATAAAGAAGAGGCACCTGTGACGTGTGTTTTTGTGTCACGCTGAAGCGCTGCGGAGCAGCGCTGCCCTGAGCACGCGCAGCGTGCGAACAGTGTAGCACAGTGTAGCTAGCGGCCGCAGAAGCACTGAGCACGCGAAGCGTGCGAACGAAGCGTGCGAATCGTGTAGCTAGCGGAAGCAGCCACAGTACAGAAGCACTGAGCACGCGAAGCGTGCGAATCGTGTAGCCACCACCACGTGCTGAGCACGCGAAGCGTGCGAACAGTGTAGGTGGTAGCAGACACGATCAGTACGAGCTACGAGTAGCAGTAGCCGCCGGCGCCGCGCGCAGAAGCACTGAGCACGCGAAGCGTGCGAATCATGTAGCCACCTAGCCTATAGCCTAGGGCATAGGTAGTACTAGTACTACTAGCAGCCGCACAAGCGCTGCGGACCACGTGAACCGTTCTCTGCAAATAGAAACATCTGCAACAAAAGGATACAAAAGATCTGCACTGACTGCACTCTGCATCTGATCTGCAGTGAAGAGCGCATCGCACTTTTGTTCGTAAGTTTATGAATTTTTTGAGCCGCTTCATCCGCCACCAGGTGATGGACAATCCTGACCAGCCTCCCGAAGGCGTAACAGACGTCCCTCCTTCTCCTTCCAACGATGAAGAACCTCCCTCACCGGGACTTCAGCGGTCTGGCCACCACCACGTGCTGAGCACGTGTGCTGTTCACGTACTTGCTTCACCCGCATGCCACATTCGGCCAGGCAACGCTGGCCGGTGGTGCTGCTAGTATAATTATAAAAGCTACAGCCTTATGAATTATTATAGGCTGGGGACTCAGTGGGGAGGATAGGAGGGAGGTTGTTGAGCTCATTAGAAGGATGCAGGGCATTCACGCGTGAAAGAACGTTGAACTAAGGAAGCCAAATATGGTGATAACTACACGTACATGTACATGAATAGGTATTTATGTCCAGTTTACTCCAGTAGCATAGTGGTGGGTGTGCTATGAGTTAGACAACTGTCTCATACGTGCGTGCATTGAGCAATAACTGAGACATACCGCATGTTTGATAGGTGTCATGTCATGTACATGTATTTGTTTTGTATTGTACTCAGTATTTTATTATTTTTACTTGGGCATTCCCAACAGACCCCAAACTACTGTCTTCTTACAGAGCTGTGGGCATTGATCAACATACTGTAACAGCACCCGAGACATGTCCTTGATACGTGCCGGATACGTACCGGATACGTGTGCGAGTGCATTACATGTATTTTGATGAACAGTTCAACACCCGTACCCGAGACAGGGTACGTGTACGCGTGTGATACTTTGAAGTACATGTGTACACCAATTTTTGCTTTGCCCGTACAAGAGGCTTACTTCTGCAGTTGATCGATACCCCAAAAAATACTGCAATAGGCAATACGAATACCTGAGACATACAATCATGTACATGTACATGTAGTAGTAAGTTTGACACGCAGCACATGATTGTGCTGCCATTGATCACTACAGTTGCAATCTGTGCTCTACATGTATGTCCTATTCGTATCAGGTGCATGTGTATTACGGGTTACCGTATGTCATCATGTATTGAATATGTCTGACTGTGTAGGAGTCAATGATTATGTCGGTGTTAAGTGTCCGTGATAATGGTAGTGGATTTGACAAAAAACAGTAAAGTAAATTAGCGTATCCGTTCCTGAAGGGTTTGACAGCTACCATTATTATTTGAACTCGGATGACTGTATAAGATCTGGTTACGTTGGTGGACAGTTTGTCATAACTTGTAACATTTTGTCCTTTTCCTTTCTTCATCATAACCATTATTAATTGTTGACGTTTGTTGTTTTCTGTTGCACGTTCCGCAGCTGTTATAGTTCCCCCTCTTCCCGCTAGTGCTCCATCTCTGAAGTTACTTCCGTCGTTGTACATGTCATTTCTCTCCTTATCGTCTCGTCCATTCATTTCGTATTCTTGCGTAACTGCTGGTGGTTTGGGATTGCTGGTGTTACGTCGTCACTTCCAATAAAATATTATTGCGACCGAGCTTTCGGCATGCAGTATACCGCTTCATTATTGTTATTCTCCTCCCGTCGCCACCATACGCTCTTTGCCAAACCAATGCACGAAGCACAAACACACGACGTACATACGAGTACACGTTACGTCCTGTCAAGTGTATGCTGATCTGCAGTCTGGTTTATACCACAGCAACATACATGCACAAGGCAGCAAACCAACATCCTTGCCCAAAGCTTTTTTTACATAATTATAATTATTTTATTCGTAAAGAGAAATGGAGTGAGAAGAAACAACACCTGTGAAAATGATAATCCTAGCACTAAGGTAATAACAGGAAAAACTGCGAAAGCACTTAACGAACTTGTAAGGACTACTAGTATACTGTGACACAAGATATGACACCATGGCCAACCAGAGCCAAACCGACAGAACAAGCTGCCACTAAAACAATTTCAAACGAATAATGCTGTCCTTCTGGACAGAATCAGAATTCTGTTTTGTGCCGTGCTCGTCATGGTTATAAGTTGCAGTTGAGTGTGTTAGAAGCTGTTTGTCAACGTATTCATAAGCC